AGCCAGATAGCTTAACAGTCCATGCCCTTATCACTATGATACACATGGTGGCCACTCTTACAGGGACATCACAGTTGCGGGATAGCTAAACTGGAGCAAAAGTGTAATTGTGAAGAAGTGTTGCAAAGCAGACTCAAGGAAGGACATCTGTGCATGTTACAGGCTCTGACAATAGGTGAAATCGGAAGGTCAATTTGAATTGAGAATAGTAAAACTCATTTGAAATTGAGTTGAAATTTTAGCTGGACACAGAGAATAATTCTTTCTGTGTTATCAGAGGAAGCACCAAGAAAGTGATGTTAATATTCTTAAAAAGCTTTAGAAACATTTTGTAGGGCTATTTAAAAAATCGGTAGATTTAGGCAACATGTAATGGATGTACTTTGTACAAAATCCCAAGGGTACGAAATGGAATAGAGGGAAGTAGTCCTCCTCCCCAGCATTACCTCAGGCACCCGCTTCACCTCCCTGAGCTCGGCCACCACCGCAGGTCTCCCACGGACGCTTCCAGGCGTGTCTTGTGCATGTACAGACACACGTGCATAGTGTTCCTTTCTTAGTGCAGATGGGGAACTACTATGCGTATGGTTCTGCACCGTTGCCTTCTTCTCCTCCAAGATCTTCAAGATTATTCTAAACCAATTGCCTCTTCCTAATGGCTGCATAATATGCTATTCATGGAGACACTATTTTTTTCTTTCTTTAACAAGTCCCTATTGATGATTATTTAGTTCCCAATCTTTGGTATGTAAAAATTACTGCAATGATTTTTCTTGAGTGTGCGTTACTTATGAGGGACTACATCAGTAGCAGAAATTCCTAGAAGTAGAGTTGTTGGGTCGAAAGAATGTGTGCATTTTGAATTTTAATAGCTCTGTTCGGTGTACCTCCCAGAGGCTGTGTTTTTCTCTTCACATTGACAGTGAATGGAGGTCTCAATTTTCCCATGTCCTAGGCAATAGAGCGTATTATCAAACATTCTAGGTTTTGCTAATCTAAGAAAAACATTATGTTACAGTTTTAATTTGTGTTTCTTCTGATATGAAGGAAGTTGATAATCTTTTCATATCTTTGAGCCATTTGTACTTCTCTTTTTCTAATCTCTTTGTTATGTTCTTGACTGTTTTTCTCTTGGGCGTTATTTTTTTTTTAATTTAATTTATAAGAACTTTTTCATGAAGGAAATAAAAGCCATCTCTCACCTCGCCAGTTTGCTTGTGTAGTTTATACTTCAGTAATGGTGTTCAATGCCATACAGATTTTTTTTTAATTTTAATGAATTAGAATATACCTTTATATTTTTGAATGCCTTTTGGATTTGTGTCATCCAAACGCTTCCCCCTCTAAGAATATTAAATATTCCCTCATGATTTATTCTAACACTTTTATAGTTCATGTTGAAGTGTTTAAAGATTTGTCTGGAATTGATTTTGATGAGGGACGACACAGGGTCAATACCATTTATTAAATAAGCCAGCTTTTCCAACTAGTATTCAAAGGCCCCTTTATTAAACTTATCATTTGCTATTTAGTTCTGGATTCTTAATTTTGTTTCCAGGTTGAGAATATTTTAATTTCTGTAGCTTTGTAATATAGTTTAATGCCTGGTCAGTCTAGTCTTCTCGCTTTTTCTAGAAGTTTCCTGGCAGTTAGTGCACAGTGCAGTTCTTCTCTAGGGTTGCTGAGTGGCTGGAGAGGCTGCCCTTCTGAGTTTCCTCCTCAATATCCAAGTCACTGTGCACCTTAGTGGTTTCGAATACTATACCTCTACTCCTATACTGCAGTACTGGGGAAATCCTTTTACGTTCAGGAAAAACGTAAATGGAGATGAATAATGGGAACAGAAATCAGAGGTGTCCGCCGCAGTCTGAGGGCCTGTAGCTTTGAGGGGCTGACTGGGCTGGACTGATACTGGACATTCAGTGGCCATCTGGCTTACCAGGGACTAGTTTTTCTTCACTGACACATGAAATCCTGGAAAGTGAGAAAAATATAGCCTTAAGCCAAGCATTCACAGCTACATGCTTTAAGAATATCTTCTCGTGCTGGCCTGGTTGCGTAGTGGTTAAGTTTGCACGCTCCACTCTGGTGGCCTGGGGTTCACTGACTCAGATCCAGGGTGCAGACCTACATGCTGCTCAACAAGCCATGCTGTGGTGGCATCCCACATAAAAATAGAGGAAGATTGGCACAGATGTTAGCTCAGGGACAATCTTCCTCAGCAAAAATGACAAGAAAAGAATTATCTTCTCCCCAGTGCAAAAGAGAAAATTGAAATTTGGAAGCAACCTAATTTTATTCATATTTATATTCATAATTCATGTAAGAACTCATTTGTTCAAAAAACAGAGTTTTCGGAGGTGAGTACATTAACACATGAATATGGTTTATAATCACAAAGGACTTGAACTTTCTACCATGGGTCATTCTGCTGATGGGCAATTTGGAAAAATATATATATTTTCTTTTCTACACTGTGCACACAAATGTTCTTTTGGTTTATTGCCATTTACTCTTGTTTAACGAGGAAAGAAACTTACTCATCCCACTCCCTGGGGTTTCAAGTCCAATAGGTCTGCCTCTTGCTCTATTTTTATCATTGTGTTACAACTTTCAAAGTTACGTAGTTCATCTTTGTTGAATGCATACTGTTTCTGTTTTTGTTTGCGTACTATTGTCATCCTATTCAGCTTACCTTATAGCTGCTAGGAAATATTTTACTGTCCTGAAAAAAACCCTTCATGTTTAACTTAAATTGATTGAATTTCTAGTAAATGTAAGGGACTGTGTGAGACTCTTTCATGTAGTTTGTATCATCGAACCTATAAAATTATGTGACATCGTATTATTATCCCTTCAAGATGGGAATAGTGAGTCTCATAACTGTGTTTCCCAAACCCCAGTAACTCGTCGATGTTGGAGCAGACGTCTCAGGTGGTTCTGAGAGCATCACCGCAAAGCCCTACGGGAGTGGCATCTTACTTACCCTCTGACTCACCTCCCACGGCTTGCCCCCTTCCCCACTAAGCTCTAAGCATGTTCTTAAAAAGCTTTAGAAACATTTTGTAGGGCTTCATTTCTGTTTCTCACATCCTCCAAGCTCTTTCTCATCTTAAGGACTTGATGTGAACTCTCCACAACAATCTGCACACATGTGGACCCTTCTTGTCTTTCCTATCCCACTGTAAATATCACCTTCTCCAAGAGTTCTTTCCATCTAGGGTGGCCATTGTCACCCTACTTTAAATCTCAGCAACTTTAAGAAATACCTACCACACTTCCTGCCTACTCATGTGTTTGTCGTCAGTTTCCTCTCATAAAAACATAAGCTCTGCAAGAGCACAAACACTATCATCTTCCCCACTGTGTCCCTAGCACCGAGAACATTGCCTAGAAGGGTCCAATAAAGATTTGATGAATGAATAGACGACTGTCTCTCATTTGCTGAGGCGGGAGGGGGGCTGTGGGGGATGAGAGTAGGAGAAAACACAAAGCCTGGTCTTTGCCTTCAGAATTTGTAACCCAGCACCTGGTGTGTCTTTATGCAGAAAGAGGCATATGGGACTAGTATTAGATTACCACTGTTGGGCTAGATTTAGCAGCCACTATAAATAAGTCTCAACATATAAATTTGGAAGTTAGCAAATCCATTCCAGATCTTTAAACTAATTTTATACATAGACGCAAACTTGTACTGTCTAAAAAATGCCACATATCAAGGACTACAAAGTAAGTTTGGAAAAATGCTGTGCCCACACTTTAAGGCCTTTCTTGATGTGGAAAAGTATGACTCAGTGAGATGCCTGGGAGAAGCCTTAAAGGAGTCTGTGATAGAGACCAATGGAACAGAGGCCAGAGGTCTCAGGGAGCTAGGCCTGTGTATCCTTGAGAGTAGGGTGACTATATGTACTTCTGACTGTGCACCTGATTCCCACTTCATCATTTCCAATAGATGACAAACACCAATTTGTTGAGTCAATGAGAGGCTATGGGAATCACATCCAAAGGAGGTGGCGTGATACAGAACATAAATTCCAAACAGAATTTATATTAAGCATATTAAGGCCTAGTACTCTCTGGAGCCAGTTGGAGCTTCTTATGGGGGTGGCTCTAAAGCATTTCTAATGGTCCCCTAGCTGTCTGCTTTCCCTAGCGGGAGTTGGCGGTACCAAAGTGGTATTTTCATAAGCTTAACATGAATCCAAAGACTAGTGTGAAACTGTTGTCAGTCTCATCAGACACCTTATTAATCAACATTTCAGGAAAAAAATGAAATAAAAGCAATATTTTTATTTAAATATTTTCAGTAATCTTATATAAAAGTATTTTGCTTCTAATCCTTTTGGATATAGTTGTTGGAACTACAAATTTCTATGTTTTCTTGCCATTTTTAAAAACTTTATTTTCTTCAATCAATAAAATCAGGAAAAATAGAAACAATCACCATAGGTTCACTACTTAAAGAGAACAGCTAAATATTTTGATGATATTTTTTAACAAACCTCTTTTGCATATTTAAAACTCATTATGATTATATTGCTTATTGAATTTTATGTACTGATGTCAAATAGATTTGTACATAAATTCTCAGCTTTTTAATGAATGCAAAATATTATTCCATTTAGGAGACATAATTTACTTAACTACTTTGTCAATATTGTACATAGATTTCCATTTTCCCCTTTTTTACATAAAGCTGTTTTATATTATTTTAGATCATTTGTGATCTGAATATTACATATGTTGTAAATTCAGATTTTGATTACAGGTTATAGCCTTATATTCCGAAGACTGAAAAAAGGTAAGGAAATTTTAAGTTTCTTGATATCTGTTTTCACACTGTTTTCAAAAGTATGTGAAAAACATCTCCGCAGCAATGCGTAAATAAGGTTCTTATTTCATCATATGCCCATCAGCATTTAGTAACATCTTTAAAATACAACTTTCAGTTTCACAAGTGAAAAAATAGATTTATTTTTGAATTTGAATATCTTTATTTAGATAGTGAGGTACAACATTTCAGTATGCGTTTTGACCCTTTCCTCCTTTGTTAGTCGTTACTTGCTTTCTTGAAGATGATATATTAATGCTCCTGTTTCTAGTGTGATGGCTCTATTTCTACTTCTGGGCTGTAACAGATGAATAGTCCAATTTCTTTCAGAAGCTTGAATCATTCAAACCTAGGAGAGTACCTAGCAGCAAAGAAAGAAATGAGCTTTGCAATTTCTTTGTTGTTACATCTACATTATTAGCTCCGTTATGCTTAGACAAAATCTTACAAGGATCTTTATTTTCGAAAAACAGGAGAAATATTCAGGAAGTTGAAATAAGTCCAAGGTTAGACATCTAATAATTAGTATAATTAGACTTTTAAGACTTTGTGGTTTCAAAACTTCCCACCACGTCTGAGGTACTCGTCGATGGCAAGCAAATCAGCCTGGCTGGGATAGTGAGCTTTCATACCACCGAAATTTTCCACCTACAAATTCCAATATATGCATTTTCATAGAATCATCTAAAGCTTGCTCTAGCGCAAAAAATATAGCCACAGGTAGCATTACCTTTCCCTTAAGAGTCCCATTGGACTTATCAGCAAAGACACTTTCCCTTACCTTTCTGAACCTAACGTGATTCCTAGAAGTGAAGCTCATGTATGAGAGTTTGTTCTTCTTCAGTCCCTTTATCTGTCTCTAAGTGCAGAATGCCATTTCCTGCTGATCTCTGCTTTTTGAGCGGACATTTGCTGCACATGTTTCAAATGTACATGGCATTTGAAAAATGATCCTTCGTCTGTAAAAGCTTTAGAGAGTTCATTCCACACGCTGTGCGCAAAGCTGGGCATATAACGTGACCTGGGAGGCAGAGGAAGACAGCAGACGATCTTGGGGTATCTGATATAATCAAACTAGCCAATGGGTATTTTCAAATGCTGAAATGACTTTGCTTTTCTTTAACTTACTTGGGCGATTCTGTGGCTTCCTATAATTGATCAATTTGTCCTACCTATAACTTCATGTGTCTGAGTTGTAGACATTTGTGAAATTAAAACATTTGAAAGTTAGCTATTTGTATGTCAAAACTCTCCAGTGTTGAGAGTGGATTCCAAGATGGCGCCATGAGTAGTCCTCTTTGTCTCTCGCCCTTCGAGTCTACAATTATTTGGACACTTATCGCTTGACAAAGGATATCCAGACAGCATCTCAGGACGTCTGAGACACCCACGCGACTATACATCGGAAGGCGGACGGACTTTCCTCCGGGAGGATGTGGAAATAGGTGAAAACTCTCCGACCCCGACGGGCAGCCTAGTACCCGCAAGCGGCTTTCTTCCAACGGACGCCCCCAGAGGATCCACACACATCTAGGGCAGGAGCGAGAACACAACAGAGGAGCGACGGTGGAAACAGGTGACCAGAACCCTACTTAAACCCCCTGCAATTACTCCTAAACGCAGAGGGAAACTTTGGAGTTGCACACCTGAGCCCGCGGGGAGAGTCTCTCCCCGCCATTGGCGGGGAGACCCAGCCTGGTGCTCGGGGCGCCCGGAGGGTCCCAGAGAGACGCCCGCCCCGGGGGACTAGGGATTGCCGGAGATCTCGGAGAGGACCGGGGCGGGGGAACTTTCAAAGGCGCATCCGGCGACCCGGTGGGGAAGCGCCGGAGCTCCGCCAGGCAGCAGACAAAACTCTCTGTCTGCCAGTAGCAGAGGGGCCACGCTGAGCACTCAGGGCTCCCGGCAGAGGCCCGGAGAGAAGCCCAGAGGGCGGGGCGACCCCCAGCTGCCGTTGCCCGCCCCGGGGGACTAGGGATTGCCGGAGATCTCGGAGAGGACCGGGGCGGGGGAACTTTCAAAGGCGCATCCGGCGACCCGGTGGGGAAGCGCCGGAGCTCCGCCAGGCAGCAGACAAAACTCTCTGTCTGCCAGTAGCAGAGGGGCCACGCTGAGCACTCAGGGCTCCCGGCAGAGGCCCGGAGAGAAGCCCAGAGGGCGGGGCGACCCCCAGCTGCCATTGCCCGCCCCGGGGGACTAGGGATTGCCGGAGATCTCGGAGAGGACCGGGGCGGGGGAACTTTCAAAGGCGCATCCGGCGACCTGGTGGGGAAGCGCCGGAGCTCCGCCAGGCAGCAGACAAAACTCTCTGTCTGCCAGTAGCAGAGGGGCCACGCTGAGCACTCAGGGCTCCCGGCAGAGGCCCGGAGAGAAGCCCAGAGGGCGGGGCGACCCCCAGCTGCCATTGCCCGCCCCGGGGGACTAGGGATTGCCGGAGATCTCGGAGAGGACCGGGGCGGGGGAACTTTCAAAGGCGGGTCCGGCGACCCGGAGGGGAAGCGCCGGAGCTCCGCCAGGCAGCAGACAAAACTCTCTGTCTGCCATTAGCAGAGGGGCCACGCCCAGCATTCAGGGCTCCCGGCAGAGGCTCGGACAGAAGCCCAGAGGGCGGGGCGTCCCCCAGCTGCTGTTGCCCGCCCCGTGGGACTAGGGATTGCCGGAGATCTCGGAGAGGACCGGGGCGGGGGAACTTTCAAAGGCGGGTCCGGCGACCCGGTGGGGAAGCGCCGGAGCTCCGCCAGGCAGCAGACAAAACTCTCTGTCTGCCGGTAGCAGAGGGGCCACGCTGAGCATTCAGAGCTCCCGGCAGAGGCCCGGAGAGAAGCCCAGAGGACGGGGCGACCCCCAGCTGCCGTTGCCCACCCGGTGAGGCTAGGGATTGCCGGAGATCTCGGAGAGGACTGGGGCTGGAGAGAGTTCCAGAGACCCAGCTTAGTAGCCTAGGGGGAAACCCTACAGGCTCACAGAAGCCTTAGGGAAAGCCTCTGACAGCACCAGTAGAAGGCACCCAGCCGCCAGCCACAAGGCTGGAAGACCCCAGGGCAAAAGCAGCATAGCTAGGTGTACTAACCACAGACTGTAGAAGATGCCAATAGCTCTCCTGCGACCCATAGAGGACAAGTGAGATTTGGTGGGTGCCGACAGCAACGGAGCGACAAATATAAGTGATCCCACCCCTGGCCGCTGGAAAAGCCCCATAACACCGTTGCAGACCCCAAGGAGAGAGCGCATCTAGGTGGGCAACAACAGTAGGCACCTGCAGCCTGAAGCCCCCCGTGACGGCCCCCACGGCAGAGGAGGGAATCCAAAGGGCCACTGTGGCTACGAAGAGGGGCCCAGGCCCAGTTAGCAACTACGGACAGGGTTCCTGGTTGGTGAAGTATAAACAGCTGCTCCCCCCACCGCAGCAGCTGAAACAAGTGAAAGGAGCAACTAAACTCTATCTCCATGCGGAGGCACAAATCAACATCATCAAGCAATATGAAAAAATACATTAAATCTCCAGAACAGAAAGAAAGTAACAAATACACAGAAAACAATCCCAAAGAAAATGAGATATATAACCTAAATGATGATGACTTCAAAACAGCCATCATTAAAATACTCACTGAGTTAAGAGAGAATTCTGACCGACAACTCAACGAGTTCAGGAGCTATGTCACAAAAGAGTTTGATACGATAAAGAAGAACCAAACAGAAATATTGGAAATGAAGAACACAATAGAGGAGATTAAGAAAAATCTAGATGCTCTGAACAGTAGGGCCGATAATATGGAGGAAAGAATTAGCAATTTGGAAGATGGCAATATAGAATTGTTGCAGGCAGAGGAGGAGAGAGAAGCAAGACTTAAAAGAAATGAAGAAACTCTCCGAGAATTATCAGACACAATTAGGAGATGCAACGTAAGGATTATAGGTATACCAGAGGGAGAAGAGAAGGAGAAAGGGGCAGAAAACCTATTCAAAGAAATAATGGCTGAGAACTTCCCAAATCTGGTGAGGGAGATGGATCTTCAGGTGACAGAAGCCAATAGATCTCCAAACTTTATCAATGCAAGAAGACCAACTCCACGGCATATAGTAGTGAAGCTAGCAAAAGTCAACGACAAGGAGAAAATATTAAGGACAGCCAGGCAAAAGAAACTAACCTACAAAGGAACCCCCATCAGGCTATCAGCAGATTTCTCAGCAGAAACTTTACAGGCTAGAAGAGAGTGGAATGATATATTCAAAAATCTGAAGGACAAAAACCTACAGCCGAGAATTCTCTACCCAGCGAAAATATCCTTCAAATACGATGGAGAAATAAAAACTTTCCCAGATAAACAAAAATTAAGGGAGTTCATTGCCACAAAACCTCCTCTTCAGGAAATCCTCAGGAAAACCCTCATTCCTGAAAAATCCAAAAAAGGAAAGGGGCTACAAAACCAAGAGCAGAGGAGATAAGTAGAAGGACAACAACAGAGAGTAGCAGCTCTACATCAGAACAGATTAAACCATGGGACGAGAAACAAAGGAAACTGAAGAAAACTGGAAAACAAGACACAAAATGGTAGTGGTAGGTCCCCACGTCTCAATAATCACTCTAAATGTAAATGGATTGAACTCCCCAATCAAAAGACACAGAGTGGCAGGATGGATCAAAGAACAAGATCCAACAATATGCTGCCTCCAGGAAACACACCTCAGCCCCAAAGACAAACACAGACTCAGAGTGAAGGGATGGAGAACAATACTCCAAGCTAATAATGAACAAAAGAAAGCAGGTGTCGCTATACTAATATCAGACAAGGTAGATTTCAAAGCAAAACAGATAAAGAAAGACAAAGAGGGACAGTATATAATGATAAAAGGGACTCTCCACCAAGAAGACATAACACTTATAAATATATACGCACCCAACACAGGAGCACCAAAATTTGTAAAGCAACTCTTAATAGAACTAAAAGAAGACATCAACAACAATACAATAATAGTAGGGGACCTCAACACACCATTAACACCAATGGACAGAACATTCAGACAGAAAATCAACAAGGAAATAATAGAATTAAATGAAAAATTAGACCAGATGGACTTAATAGATATATATAGAACACTTCATCCAAAAACAGCAGGTTACACATTCTTCTCAAGTGCACATGGAACATTCTCAAGGATTGACCATATTTTGGGAACCAAAGCAAACATCAATAAATACAAGAGAGTTGAAATAATATCAAGCATCTTTTCTGATCATAACGCTATTAAACTAGAAATCAACTACAAGAAAAAAGCAGAGAAAGGTGCAAAAATGTGGAGACTAAACAACACGCTTCTCAACAAACAATGGATCATTGAAGAAATTAAAGAAGAAATCAAATATTATCTGGAGACAAATGAAAATGAGAACACGACATACCAAATCATTTGGGATGCAGCAAAAGCAGTCCTAAGAGGGAAATTCATCGCAATACAGGCTCACCTCACTAAACAAGAAAAAGCTCACGTAAGCAACCTCAAACGACACCTAACAGAACTAGAAAAAGAAGAACAAACAAGGCCCAGAGTCAGTAGAAGGAGGGAAATAATAAAAATAAGAGCAGAAATAAACGATATTGAAACAAAAAAGACAATAGAAAGGATCAATGAAACAAAGAGTTGGTTCTTCGAAAGAATTAACAAAATTGACAAACCCCTAGCCAGACTCACCAAGAAAAGAAGAGAGAAATCGCAAATTAATAAAATCAGGAATGACAGAGGAGAAATCACAACAGATACCAATGAAATACAAGAGATCATAAGAGAATACTATGAAAAACTATATGCCAACAAATTGAACAACCTGGAAGAAATGGACAAATTCCTAGACTCCTACAATCTCCCCAAACTGAATCAGGAAGAAATGGAGAATCTGAATAGACCAATCACAAGTAAGGAAATAGAAACGGTAATCAAAAACCTCCCCAAAAATAAGAGTCCAGGACCAGACGGCTTCTCTGGAGAATTCTACCAAACATTCAAAGAAGACTTAATACCTAT